CTGATATCTCTAGGTCGCTAGTTCAAGTCTGGCTTGCCGGAAGGCATCTTTCTTTTTTCATGTTCGCTGAATTATTTTACTTAATTTAATTTTTTTTAATCTTAATCTCAATTAGTGATAGTGGCTTGGCTTTTTTAGCATGCGTATTTGACAATAAGCCAATGATTTTGCGTCACGCATTTTACTGCGTCGACAAGCTAGAATCTTGCTAATTCAAGATATATCATTCATTTAACAAAAAGAAAAAGTCTTTTACAACAAAAACCGGTAATAGCTCAGTTGGTAGAGCGGGAGACTGTAGTGAACTCATTGTTCAAGACTGTTATCTCTAGGTCGCTAGTTCAAGTCTGGCTTGCCGGAAGCAGCTTTCTTTTTTCATGTTCGCTGAATTATTTTACCTAATTTGATTTTTTCTTTAACCTTAATTTCAATTAGTAATAGTGGCTTGGCTTTTAGCACGCGTATTTGACAATAAGCCAATGATTTTGTGCCACGCAATTTACTGCGTTGACAAGCTAGAATCTTGCTGATTCAAGATATATCCTTCATTTAACAATAAGAAAAAGTCTTTTACGACAAAACCCGGTAATAGCTCAGTTGGTAGAGCGGGAGACTGTAGTGAACTCATTGTTCAACGCTGATATCTCTAGGTCGCTAGTTCAAGTCTGGCTTGCCGGAAGACAGTTTTCTTTTTCATGTTTGCTGAATTATTTTACCTAATTTAAATTTTTTTTTTTTACCTTAATTTCAAATAGCGATAGTGGTTTGGCTTTTAGCACGCGGATTTGACAATAAGCCAATGACTTTGCGCCACGCATTTTACTGCGTCGACAAGCTAGAATCTTGCTGATTAAAGATATATCCTTTATTTAACAAAAAGAAAAAGTCTTTTAAAACAAAAACTGGCAATAGTTCAATTGGTAAAGCGGGAAACTATAGTGAATGCACTGTTCAACGTTGACACCTCTAGGTCGCTAGTTCAAATCTGGCTTGCCGGAAGACAACTTTCTTTTTTCATTGCTGAATTATTTCATTTATCTAATTGAATTTTTTTTTTTATGAAATTACCAAACCAGAAAATTCATGAGGGCCAAATGAGCTTAATATCACGAATTATGGCCAAGAGAAATAAAAATAACTGGGCTATAAGAAAGTTTCTACTCTTTCTTCTCTATTTTATGTGTCCATAACTTTGTATCCGTTATTCATATTAGCTGATAACTGTGAGTTACGACAAATCTAAAGGTTACTTAAAAGTTGTATAATGTCGTGTGTCAAATTTGGATTGAAGTTCGATTCTGAGATGCGTCAGACCAGTTTATCATTTATCCATCAGATTGATATATAGCGAATATAATAATAATAATAATAATAATAATAATAATAATAATAATAATAATAATAATAATAATAATAATAATAATAATAATAATAATCAAAGAGTTGTGAAGCATTCATTTATTTTACGATAAGCTTTTATAAAAGAGGAAAGAAACACTGCTTTTTATTATTGATTAAAATCCGTCAAATAAACACGAAAAGGATGCTGGCATACAGTACTTACAGGAGCAATACACAATACAAGCGTAAAAATAATTATAAAAAAATCTGGTATTGGAACAAAACATTTGTAATAATAAACTAGTAGTTAGGCACGTCCAAATGTCCGTGCTTAAATTAATTTTTTTATTCGTATTTTTTTTTTAGATTATTTTAGGCAAAATCTATATGACGCCTAGGGCAATTTTGCCTGAGTCCTATCTAAAGTAGTAGAGTATGTAAAACAAAAGTAGTAGCGTAGTGCAACTTTAGATCTTTATACTCATACGTATATTTAAAAATCATACCTATCCAACTTATAAGTAGGAAAGATGGCAATACTTAATAGTTATTCGGCACTTCATGCTGAATAACTGAGTTATTTGCTGTATGCTATTTGATTGGTCGATTTTAAGCACCGAAGGTGCTTAAAATTCGGCCAGTCAAATCATATGGCAAATAACGGTAAGGTACAATAGTGTTCTAATGTTAGTAAAGCGCGATAGCGCTTTACTAGTATTAGAACACTATTGTACCGTAGTTATGAGTACTTCGTGCTTGAATAACTGGATTATACGGCATTTATATTTGTTGGTTTTGCATACCAACTGTTGACCGGCGTTTGAGATTTTAAATTTTTATGCACGTGAGTTACACATGTTGTCCGGATATATTTTAAATCCGGAACGGATTTAAAATATTTCGGATAACGTGTGTAACTCACGTGCATAAAAATCATAAAATTTCAAATGCCGGATAACAGTTGGTAAATGCAAAATCCAACAAATAGAAAATGCCGTATAATTATAAGTATAGTAAGTATGAAAACGATCATACTTGTAAGTATAAATATACTTGTGCGACGAAAATTTGAAACGAACATTTCACGTAATACAAGTACTAGGCTTGGGTGACCGTAGGCATAATGTAGCGTGATGGTGATAAATTGGTGATTAATTAAAAAGTATAAGGTAGTAAAGCGAAGCATAAAAAAATTAATATAGAAAATAAATGATGTAATTATATAGTATAGAATATAAAAATAAAAATAAGTAAAAGGGAAAATCGATGCATATATGATTTTAAGAACTATATATTCAAAAGGTTCCCTTGAATTAAAATTACAGTAAAGAATTTTTAACCCCGCAACATTATAAATGAAGTATAATTGTATATTAAGCATTTCTGCATAAAATTTAATATGCAATATTTTGCAGTTTTTAATAATGCCGATGTATTTTGAATAATCGTATGATAGTGTATGTGCGTACATTGTACTTAAGACTTTTTTCTTTTAAATAATTGAAAGCTACTACATACTTTTGTTCGTGTTTACTTTCTTGAAATGGACGATCGTTACTTTCAAAACTATCGATGATCCTGACCTTCATATTCACGATGATCCTGACCTCTATGTTAACGACGATCCTGACTTTCATATTGTTGATGGGGTTGAAACTATTTACGAAGAAGATCTAGAATCCTTCGAAAATAAAAGTGTATTGATTTCTTCTAATGATGGGCTTCGAGAGATTGATGATACTATTTCAAGCGATTTAAATGAAGATATAATAATAACTTATTTTACTAAAGAATTGGCAACAAAGATTATTTATCATACTTTTTTCTTTCGCAATCCACTCAATATAACTATCACTATTTTGTCATAAATATCGATTATTTTCCCTTTAATTTTATTTTTACCACTGCATCATGACCCATCGTTAAATCAATCAAAAATTAAAATTTTTTATAAATATGATCTAACTGACCTGATTAAATTAATTATTGTATATCACGTGGACAAGCCACCCTTATGATCGATAGTTTATAAAATAGTATACAAACTAGTATAATCGACTTAAATTTTTTTATACTATATGTATATTATACGCTTTTCTTAAAAAAAAATTAGTATACATATATGTATATTATACGCTTTTCTTAAAAAAAAGTTAGCATACATATATGTATACTATACGCTTTTCTTTTTTTATTAGCCTACACAACGTCTTTTGTGCCATTAACCTTACGATTATAAACAACACCTATTTTGCCTGGATATACGTACAGTACTACTAATATGCATATTAGATAATCAAATATGTAATACGAATTTATAGTAGAATCTATGTATTATCACGTGTCTATAAATATATATAAGCGATGCATTTTTGATCCAAAATTTGATCGTACACGATTAATCTTGAATTGAAAAGTTTTTCTTTTTTTACTTCAAGAACTACCGATTTATTATAAACAGTTGGTTGGCTTTTTTTAATACCTTATGAAAGTGTTCGTTGGTTGATGTCGTACCTCGAAGAATGTTAAGGCCTAAAGGTTAGGATTAGGGTCAGCCGGAATTGTGCCTAATTCTGGGAGGGGTCTATTAGGTTATACTTTAGAACTAATTCTTATCTTATCTTTATTTTAGAGAAGCTGTCATGAATAACACTATAAATACTATCGGAGATATGAACTTTTTAAGTGATGAATCTGATTTTAATACAAACCTTTTAAATAACGAACCTGAGATAGTACCTGTAGAAAATAATGAATCCGAAATAAGGCTTGTAGAAAATGACGAATCTGAGATAGATCTTGTGGAAAATGATGAATCTGAGATAGGGCTTGTGGAAAATGACTTTGAACATACTGATGAAAGTGGTGGCTGGAGTTCAGATGAAGATATTTCATTAATAGGATCTCCTGAACTATATGCTGGAAAGTTATTTCCTTCATGGACTGTTGTTAATAGATCAATAAAAGCATTTGCATACCATAATGGTTTTAGTGTTCGAAAGTATCGTTCAGAAAAGTTGAATGGAAAGTGTATTAGGCGTACATATTTGTGCCGACATTCTTATGTATATAAGCCTGTAAAAGACAAAAACCCAGAAAAACAACGGAATAAAAGTTCTGCTCGGGTTGATTGTCCTTGGAAAATTCATATTCGTTATCAAAAAAATAGTCGTGGTTTAAAAGTTTCTTCATTTGAAAATAAAGCATGAAAATCATACTTTAGATCCAGTAAATCGCCTCAATTTCGACGTTTAACTCAAAAATTCTCAAAAATATTAAATTTTATACCCAAGTAGGTCATCTAGGAGCAACTGACCAACATTGTCTATTAAAAGCTTCATATCCTCATCATACTCTGCACAAAAAAGTTCTTTATAATGCAATACAACAATTTCGTAATGAGAATGATCCAAGTCTTAATGATGCAGCACGATTACTTGAATATCTATTAGATCAGAAGCATAATAATAATGATTTATATGTCGAGTATAAGTTTGATCAAAGAACAAATGCATTAACACATCTATTTTGGATGATGCCACATCAAATTGCTCTTTGGAATCGTTATCATGATATAATTATTCATGATAATACTGCCATAACAAATCGTTATAACAAACCATTATCATTATTTATTTGTATTGATAATAATCATAATTCAAGACTAGTCGCTCAGGCTATACTCGATGATGAAACTAGAGAATCTTATTCTTGGGTATTAGAATGTGCATCAAAAGCTACAAACAATGTCGAGCCTGCTGTCTTTATGACTGATGCAGATCCAGCTATGATTTCTGTCATTCCTGAAATGTTTTCTAATATGTTGTCACTTCATTGTATTTGGCATTTGGGATAAAACTTGACAAAGAACCTAAAAAGTAAATTAGGTAACAAGTTTGATAGTTTTATGAAAGATTTTTATCGATGTCGCAATTCTCTTTCAATTTCAATCTTTGAACATCGTTTGGCAGAATTAGTTAAAAACTATCCTAATGCAAGTGATTATCTTATAAGAAATTTAATCCCTATAGGTCTGCATGGGCCAAAGCATTTACACTTAATATATTTAATGGTGGAATACAGTCTTCACAAAGAGCTGAGACAACTAATTCTGTTATTAAAAGACAATTAAATTATCGAAACATTAGTATTTATGATTTATTTATGTAACTTGAAGAAATACTTGCAACTGAAATATTAATAGTACATTTATAGATTGGAAATGTCACAATGTCTTTCCGAAAGTAATCAAAATATTGATAGTGTTTTTAAACCTATAGATGATATTATTAAAACTTTCTTAACACCAACAAGTTTAAAAAAGCAACGGGATCAGATAAATCTTAGATGCTACAAGAGTTTCACATGAGAATCAATATAATAATCAGGTAAATTAAATTATTTTTTAGAGTTTGAATTTAGATTACGTAATACATTAAACGTCAGCATATAGCAAAGTTTATTTAGTTTGCTGGAATTTTAGTGAAATGAATGAGCCAGGTAGCGAAGCAAAGAGAAGCTACCAATACGAGTTATTTTTTTATTAAATTAGTTTGAATTTAGATTACCTAATATGCTAAACATCAGTGTATAGCAAAGTTTAATTGCTGGATTCTTAGTAAAAATGAACGAGCCAGGTAGCAAAGTGAAGCAAAAC